GGTTTTCTCCTTCCACCTTGTAGGTCCTGGGAATCAAACTCAGGAAATCAAGTTTGGCAGCAAGCACCTTTACTTGTTGAGCCTTCTTGCCAGCCCCAAATGTGCATATTCTATTGACCCAGAAGACTCGATTCTTGCGATCTAAAACAAAACAAACAACAAAACTCTAATAATGTTATGCCCTACTGAGTGGATTAACATCTGTGAGGGTCAGAGCTCCTTGTTCTAAAATGAAGTTGCCGCATCTGAGCCAGTTCACCGCAAGAACATGACACATGCGCTGAGAACTTACTTGGCGTCAGACTCTGCCTATTGAGGGCCCTACAGGCAGCATCTGATTTGACACTAATTTGTGCGCATGTGTGTTGCATAAGTTATGGGCTGTGCTACGGTGACAAGACTGCAATGTGGCCCCTGCTATCCTCTCCATGGGGAAAGCAAGCTCCCTTGGTGCCCTATGCCAGCTCTGCCATGGTGCTGAATGACCACATGGCATCTGACTGCCATGACTGAGACAAAAGGAGGCCTTTCAGCCTTACTTAAGACTACAACCCTTGGCGGCTCAGATGGCTCAATGGGTGTTCCCGGCCAAGCTTGAGGACCTGAGTTGGATCCCTCAGTCTCACATGGTGAAATAAGAGAACTCCCAAAAGTGTTCTCTGATTTACACACATGTACCATCACACACACACACACACATACACACACATACAGTGTACCAATATCATACATATATACTTAAACTACATGTGCAGGAAATGTCTTAAAATGTGTACAAGAAGGTGAGCAAAGGAGTAACCTTGGAATAAGGAGCTGAAGGGCCAGGGACGTGGTTCAGCTGGCCAAGTGCTTGCCTAGCAACCTTGAGGTCCTATACTCAATCCCCCTACACCAGAACTAAACTGGGTGTGACGACACATACCCAGAACCCCAGAACTTGGAAGTAAAGGCAGGAAGATCAGGAGTTCAAGTTCATCCTTGTCTACAAAACAAGTTTAAGGCTAGCCTAGGCTACAGTATATATTATATTTACTTATGATACCATAAATGCAAATATATAAAATCTTACATATTTTTCACCTCTATTACTTGTGAAACGTAAAACACACAAAATAAAATAAACACTAAAACATTAACAAAGAGAAAAACAATTCAGAGGGAAATACTATACCAAAATGTTCAGTATGCTCATGACACTTGAATAGTTTCTTCTTTTCCCTATTACTTGAAATTAGCTGTCTGTGTATCAGATTTGTTGTTACTGACTTTGAATGCAAGTATATTCTGATAAAGTTAAGCATTATAGATAAGACTTTCTGCGTCCCAACCCCAGCTTCCTTTTGTGTTCATGCATATTGCTTAAGCTACATGTCTTGTTCCTGTAACAAAATTCCCAACAAAACCAGCTTAAGGAAAGAAGAGCTTATTTTGCTCACAGTTTGAGGTCTCACAGTCCACCATGGTGGGAAGGCATGGCAGCAGGAGCAGGAGGCAGCTGGTCACGTGGCAGCCACAGTCAGGAAGCAGAGAGATGGGTGCGGTGCTCAGCCCCCTTTCTCCTTTTCACACAGCCCATGACCCAAACACAAGGAATACTGCTGCCCACAGTTAGTCTAGGACTTCTAACCATAATTAACCAATGTAGAAGCTCACAGACACGTTCAGAGGTGTGTCCCCCTGGTGATCCTAGATCCAGTCAAAGTGAAAAATCAATACTGATTTTCCCATAAGTCACAAGTATGTATGCAACTTGTGGGAGTCAGCTCTCTCCTTCCACCATGAAGTCCTGGGAATTGAACTCGGGTTATCAGTCTTGGCAGCAAGCTCCTTTACCCATCAAACCTTATCTCACTGGCCCACTGTGCTTTTGAAGACTTGCATCACATTTGTTTGAGACCCTCTATAATTTCATTCATCATTATATCTCAGACTCCATGTCATTAAATGACATGATGTCACCATCGTTGACTAACCAGGAATCTAGAACACGGAGACACATAGTTATACAAACTCTCTAATACCATCATTTAGGTTTGTTAGTTTCCTATTTTAACACTACAGCGAATTCCCTTCTTAGAGATTTCTTTGGAAAAGGACTCCAAGAATTGGACTTCTGGGTCCCTATAATTTAAAGCTATTTCAATAGATACTCCTCCAAATTTCCCATTTAGATGACTGTATAAGATTTACTATCCCATTAGCAGTACTGGCACACATCACTGTCAGGGTCTGCCAAACCCTTTCTTTTTTGTCAGTCTGTTAATAGAAAGTGGAATCCTATTATTTAACTTGATTTTCCCTGGAAAAAGGATGTGATCTTCATATGTGTCATACATACGAGAATTCCTTTTATTCTCTGTGTGTGTGTCTCTGTCTCTGTCTTTCTCTCTCTCTCTCTCTCTCTCTCTCTCTCTCTCTCTCCCCGTGTGTGTGTGTGTGTGTGTGTGTGTGTGTGTGTGTGTGTGTGTGTGAACACTGTTTGCAGTAATCAGTTTTCTTCTTCCACCATGTAGGTCTTGGGGATCAAACTCAGGGATTTAGGTTCAGCAGCAAGTCCTTTAGTTGATGACACCTTGTCTGCCCCCTGCATTCCTTCTATATAACTGTTTATAATCTTTTGTTATATGGTTATCTCCTTTTCATTGATTTGCAAGAGTCCTTTAAATAGTCTAGAAACTAATCTTTCATTTTCTATGTGCAAATAGACTCTTTCAGTCTTTGTGTTTTGACCTTCATGTGATTTTTTTTAAGATTCATTTTTTAATTATATGTATGTGTGTATGGTTGTGTGAGTTTGTGCATGTGAGTGCAGTGCCCACAGAGGCCAGAAGAGGGAGTGAGATCCCTTGGAGCTGGAGTTACAGGTAGCTGTGAGCCCTGGTGGTGGGTGCTGAGAACTGAACTCAGGTCCTCTGTACGAGTAGTATGCACTCTTAACTGCTGAGCTATCTCTGCAGCCACTGTGATCACTGACCTAGTTTCTCATACTTGTCAGATTTGATGACTGTCAGAAGCCACACTTTAAGGTCTCTATCCCAAGGTCATGCACATTATCCAAACTTTCTTTTAAAACGCTCATCATTCTTCCATGTTTATTTTCACTGTCTGAAATCACACACAGTCCCTGTCCCCAGCTCCTGAAACCTGCACTTCCTACCAAAGCCCGTGCTACCTGCCTACATGCTTGCTAGTGTCTTTTGAAAAGAAAGAAAATACCAAACAATAACAAGGACAAGACACTTTTAGGCTGGTGACACGGCTCGGTGAACAAAAGCACTTGCCGTACAAGTCTCAGGATTTGAGTTAAATCCTGACTTCTCATGGAAGCAGAGAGAACTGACACTGGCTCCACAGAGCTGTCCCCTGACTGCCTCATGCGTCACATGCCCAGCAGCAGCAGCAGCAACAGCAGCAGCAACAACAACATCAGCAGCAGCAACAACAACATCATCAGCAGCAGCAACAGCAGCAACAACAGTAACAGCAGTAGCAGCAATCCTTTCCCTCAGAAAAACTGTCTGTTCAGTTCTTAGAGACACAGCTCAACCAGGAGTTAGAAAAATAACAAAACAAAAATAACACCTCACAGAACTGATTGCCCCCTTGTCCGTGTTCCTGTGGCAGTTTGTCCTGCCATTCTTGTAAAAGCATATCTATCTTTCTCACTTACTGCAGCAAAAAAGTGTCTGAGGCCATCTGTGTATTCAGCACTTTGTTTAATGAACGAATGAATAAAACAAACAATCTCTGTTTTAAAAAAGGACTCTATTAAGCCTTTCAACAAAGCAGAGTGCTTCTGACCATGCTAATCAGACTCTTCGAGATGATTCCTTTAGAGAGAAAACATTAGCTGCCTCAGGCCTTCACCACCACAACGAAACCAGTTTGCCCTCTCTGCAAAGCAAGAGGCCAACAGCGGAAGTCCAGAGCCAGCTAGCCCTTCTAGACGATCTGAGTGGACACGTGCTAGCCAAAACCCCTCCAAAACACCCCCAGGAACCAAGAGAATTACATTACTCTGGAAGAATGTGGCTTCCAGGACACAGACTGTATCTCCTCAATTTTCTCCTGGAGGTACACATATTCAGCTATCTATTCTCTCCCAACAAATGAATTTGGTTTTATTATAGTTTGCTATAGTAAAAGTCAGGAAATGACCAGAAAAAGAAAAATGCTAGCAGCATTATTTGTGTAGACTGATGCAAAAAAAAAAAAAAAAAAAAAAAAAGCAAAAGCAAAGCAAAGCAAGACAGCCAACCCTCTTATACCAGGAAACTGTCCCTTAAGAGCCTCCTGCAATCTGTGCCCGTCACCCCTAGCACATGCAGAAGTCAGAAGAGGATGCTGGCTGTCCTGCTCTGTCACTGTCGGACTCACACTCCTGAGAAGGCTCTCTTACTGAACCTGGAGCTAGGCTGGCAGCTAGCACCCCCAGTGACATTCTTGTCTACCCCTCCACAACTCTGGGGTTATAAGAGCACCTGGCCACAACTTGCTTTCCACATGGGTGGTGGGGATTTGAACTCAGTCCCTCACGCTTGTACAGCAAGTGCTCTGACTTGTACATTTTTAAAGAGCCCAACACATTCAGTCACAAAATACTTCCTAATTTCAGAAAAAAATGTATTTTTGATATAGGTCTCATGTAGCCAAGGCTGGCTCTGAACTTTCTATACAGAAAGGATGACAGAAAAGATGAGCTCCCAATTTACCTCTCAGGTGCTGGGGTCACAGGCATATGCTCCCACACAGGGTTCATTCATCACTGGGGATGGAATTCAAGGCTTGGTGTGAGCTCGGCAAACGAGCACTCTACCCACTGAGCACACTCCCTTACCCCAAGATGTGATTTTTTTAAACAAACATTTATTCCATTTTTCATTCATTTTATAACAAGAAAGGAAAGAAGGAAGCAATGGAGAGAGGGGAGGAGGGAGGAGGAAAAGGAAGAAAAGAGAAAGGCAGAAAGAGACCTCCATAAAGAAAAATCAAGCCAAGGATTAATTTTTTTTAAAGATTTATTTGACAATTTGAAAAACTCACTTGTGGAACAAAGAAAGGCAAAGGTGTCCCCTGGGCACCTTCACCAGGATGAGGTGGGATTAGCTTTGTATCTCTTATAATCTTCTTCGCAGAAGAATGCAATTTCAGTTTCACTGGCTGAAAAGAAGAAACACAGAAAAGGAGAGAAACAGAATTTTAATGCAAAACTAGATTTTATGCAAGTATGGAAATCTGTATTACATTGGGTGCTTAAAATGAAAAGACCAGTTGTCGTTTGGACTGTACAATAACTTTTTGCCAAATCAACCAGAAGTTTCAGTGTGGTTATGGGAGACTAAATCTCAAATAATTCAAAAATAAAAGGAAGAAGAATTCATGCTAGTGAGATGATAAAGGAGCATTCTCCGAGCCTGGCAGCCCGAATTCAATCCTCAGAGCTAAGGTGGTGAGAGAGTACCAACCCTACCAAGCTGTGCTCTGACTTACACATGCACACACACACATACACACACACACACACACACACACATGCCTGCTCATGCACACACACACACACACACACACACACACACACACACGGGAGCATGCACACACACACACACACACACTCAAAAATAAACGTAACTTAAAAATCTGAAAGCAATAACTCCTAAAATTAAAATCAAGAGTTAACACAAGAGTGAAGATTTTCAAGAGGTACCTACATTGCTCATTTATATCCCTAGAAAAAGAAAAGAAAAGAAAAAAAAAAACAAGGAAAAACCCACCTTGATCTCTTTCAAATAGACTAGTCAGTTCCAGAAGGGAAGGGACTCCCCCCGCCCCACGAAATTAGCCTGTAGGTATAATAATTTAATACTTAGAGGATCAGTAGAATATTTTACAGATCACTTTACATTCTCCCTCATGACCCATCAAAATATGTGTCTGAAGAAGTTAATTTTTGGCCCTGCTTATGATTAATTCATGAGGCTTCAGCAATATGCAAAGTGAAAGACACAAATTGGCTTCTATGCAATACCTTCAAATGCCTCTAATTATTCACGGGGGAATGGCGCAGCTAAAGGACCCACAGAGGTTCAGGGCGGCCAGGAAGCTTTCAACCTAGTGGGTCAAGGACTCCGTCTTCTAAAACAATAAGTCAGCATCATTATTAATTCAGATCTGATGGAGAGCCTTCCCATTATTAAACATGTGGTCCTTCAAGGTGTTGGCACCCACAAGTTCCACACTGGTTTTTTAAAATTAAACCAGGAGTTAATACAGTCTGCTCGGCTTTCACAGAAGGCAAAAGGGCCTTCCAAAGCTCAACAAGAAAACAGACATGATTATTCGTAATGAATACTGAGTACTCAATTAACATAGGCGCTCCAAAGAGACAAGTAAAACTCTTCAACCCAAATAAACAGGATGGGAAGTGCAGAGGATTAGCGTTGGTCTGCAGCGTAAGGCTCTAATCTCATCATTAGATTCTATCACAAAAGAACGAAATTCAAGAGATTAGTGTGACATTTCATTAAGAATGGTTCTGCTGTTTGCAAGAATATCACATGTAGTGTCTCTCTACCATAAGCTATCCTGTGTTCTAGAGAAAATAAACAAACACTGAGAGAAGAAAATGATATGGCCATATTCCCAGATCCTTGGTCCAGATGCATTTCGTCCTCGGGATTAAATTTAATACAAGTGGTTGATAATTTGATTGGGAACTCTCATTGCATTGAGTCTTGGGGGGGGGAGGGCACCACAGGGAGAAACTGAGAATCAGAGAGGGGATGGAGACGAGATTCCCTCAGCAAACAGTGGGTTAGTGTGCAGTGCAGTTCAGCAGCTTGGCCAGCAGTCACATTTCAAAGAATCGGCTGACTGTAAAAAGGGGGCTGCAGGGGCTGGGAGATGGCTCATTGGATAAGAGCACTTGCTCTGCAAGCATGAGGACCTGAGTTCAAATCCCCAGAAACCCAGATAAAAGCTGAACATGGCTGTGTGAGCCTGTTACCCCAGCACCGTGGGGTGGAGACAGGAGGATCCTGAGAGCAGCCAGCCTAGCTAAAAGTTTAAACAGCGAAACAGCTAGCTGGTTCTGGGTCAGTGAAAGACTCTGTCTCAAGGTAATAAGGCACAGAGTAATAGAGGAAGACACCAGATGCCCTTCTCTGGCCTCCACACACATGCAGTAAACACACGAGTGCATGCACTCATTCCAAGAGAAGGTATTTGGAGCACTACCCTTTGAAGAACAACAGAAAGTTCCTTTCCGAGGAGAAACATAACTACGGGATTGCTACATGATTGAGTCCTCCCTCTCTTCTTTTCTTTTTGACAGGGTTTCTAGCCCAGGGTGGCTTTGAACTCCCTAGACGTCAAAGATGACCATGAACCTCTGATCCTCCTGCGTCTACCTCCCCAGCCCTGGAATACAGGTGTGTACATCTGCCCAGCGTATGCAGCACTGGGGCTGGAACTCAGGGAGCAGTGCACACTAGGCGGGGCTCATCCCCAGCCCCAGAGCTGTGTTTGTAGCGGAGAAAGCAAGCTGCATCTCTAACCGCAGGGCAGGCTCTGCTGTCATGTGCCATTACATGCAGAACTCTACAGTCTTTGCCCACCTGGCACTTTGCTAAAGTCACTGCATCGTAATCACACTTGTCACCGCCTGCCTTCAACACTCACCTGCCACCTCTCAGGATAACTGGAGAGCAGGCAAATACGGAACAGGTAGCTTGATTCTGAGGAGACGCGGAGAACAACTCAGTATTTACGGCTTGGCTTCTGCATACCTGTTTGTTTTGAGACAGGGTCTGGCTGACCTGGAACTCACTATGTGGACCAGGCTGACCTCATGTCACAAAGACTACACTACTCAAGTTTGGAATCTACTTTTTTGTTGGTTTAGTTTGGGTCTTTGAGACAAGGCTGAACCATATACAGTGCAGGCCGATGACTGGGAGCTCAGGACCCCTCCTGCCTGTGTGTGCCACCACCTCTAGCTGTGACATGGTCTCTATACAGCATGGACAGATACAAAGGCGCAGAATAAAAGCACTGAAGGTGGAGATGTTATTCTCAGTTAACCCCCAGTCTCTCTGGAAAACTGGGCCAACAAATGGGCTAAATTTAATGTTTCAAATTACATGTATATTTAAAGTGTGTCTGTAACAAATCAGAAAACACAAACTATAACTATTCAAAGGTAAGACCTGAGCACTGGGAAGGCGGCTCAGGGGTCAAGGGCACTTTCTGTCTAAGCAGGAGGGGCTGAATTTGAATCCCAGGAACCACGTAAAAACTTGGTGTGGTCACACAAGCCTATAACCCCAGTTCTGTGGGAGCTAGAGACAGGAGGCTCCCCAGTACTTGGTGGCCACCTGGTGGCTCCAGGTCTTAAAGAAATGAGGTGGAGAGAGACAGAACAGACACCTGATGTCCTCCTCTGGCCTCTGTGAATGCATATATATATGTATATATATATGCATATAATACATATGCAGACATACAAAGAAAAGCATAAGGCAGTTCTAATCTTGGCATAGTGACATGCATGAAATTCCAGCACTTGGGAGTCTGAGGCAGGAGGGTCATGAGTTTCAGGCCACCAGCATGGATTACACGGGGATAACTTGCCTCAAAAAAAAAAAAAGCCAGCTAAACTAACAAACAAACAAAAAATAGATTTCAGACTTTAACACATAGTTCCCAAGTGAAAGGAATGGAATGATAGTTTTTTTAAAAAACTGGATATCTTTTGGAAATATTTGAGAGAATAGGTTCATGTATTTAAATTTTTTAACATTTTAAACAGCAAATACAACTGATTTTCTTTTTGAGACAAAGTTTCCAGCAGACCAAGTCTTTCCTACATAGATGAGGATGTCTCTGACCTTCTTATCCTGCCTCCAGCTCCCAAATGCTGGGCTGACAGGTGTGGACCACCACGCGCAATGCTGGGGCTAACGCTGGGGGCTTTGTGGTGACCTGCAAGACTCTCCCAAATGGGCTGCATCCCCTCCCACACATGGTAATGACCACTATATAATCACTCTCTCCACTCATACCCCAACAACTCTTACTCCCCAAGTTCTATTTAAAATAGCTCTTTAAGCACAGCAGAGAAGAGCCTGCAGGAAGAGGGCACCTGGCTTTAAATCCAATGTGCTTTGAGCACAGTACAGTCAGTTAGGGGTCTTGGTGTGGGAATCTGAAGATCGTGTGAGATCTAAAACCAGGTGTCTTTATGTCACCATCAAATAAAACCAAGGAGCGCTCCCCAAATACATTGTGGAGCCCCTTAATACTGGCATGCCATTGTAACATGAGCCAGGACATCTAGACTTTAGGTATAACATTAAGAATCTGATAACTCTTCTAAACAGCTTACACACACACACACACACACACACACACACACACACACCTCTTTAATGGGAAACTGATTACTTGAATTAAGAGAAAAAGAATAAATTATTCTAGCTCTGAAATCTCAAGAGAAATTAAATACAGTTTAATTAATCTTCTGACCTATTGAAATAAACTTACCGGCTATCAACAAAGACACAGCACAAGCTCTCTATCTATATCCCTGACCTCACGCTGTGACTTGCAGGGCCTGAGAAAAACTGGCATGTGAGTGTTGGCTTTGTGGGACATCCAGGACAGATTGTCAAGTGAAGATAATAGCATTTTAAAAAAATTAGTTCTCAGAGCAAACCGAGGTCCAAATAGAAAGTTTCACTCTCTCTTCAGCTCCAGGAAAACATTTTATCCTTCCTTTTGTATGTATGTGAATGTATGTGTGTGTACATGTATGCATGCATGTGCATGTAGAGGCCAGAAGTCAACCATAGGTGTCATTTCTCAAGCACCACACACCTGCTTTTTGAGATTTGTTTCTGTTTATGTGTATAGGTTTTTGCCTTACATATATGTCTGTGCATCACATGTACACAGTGCCTGTGGAGGTCAGAAGAGGGAGTCAGATCCCCGCACCCTGGAGTTACAGATGGCCGTGAGCCACTATGTGAATGTTGGAAATTGAACCTAGGTCCTCTGGAAGAGTACTCAGGGTCCTTAACTGCTGAGCCATCTCTCCGTCCTCCACCTGGTTGTTTTGAGGTAGGGTTTCTCACTGGGTAAAGTACTTGATGTAGTGTGTTGAATCTCTAGCACCCATGTAAAAAGCTGGGCATGGAGGTCCATGACTACACCCCAGTACTTGGGGACAGGAGGCAGAGACGGCAGGGTCTCTGGAACTCATAGCCAGTCAGTTTAGAAGAGTTCCAAGGTCAGCGAGACCCTGTCTCAAAACCTAAGGTGAAGAACACTGAGGAAGATATTTGGTACTGACCTCTGGCCTTCACGCAAACATGCACACATATGAACTTATACCCCACCGTGGTGGACTGAATACAAATGGCCCCCATGGGCTCATAGGGAGTGGCACTATTAGGAGGCGTGGCCTTGTTGAAGGAAGTGTGTCACTGGGGGTGGGCTTTGAGGTCTGAGGGTCACTAGGTCCGGTGGCTCCCTCTCATTCCTGCTGCTGGCCTGCCATGACTGCCTGAGTGCCGCCATGCTTCCTGCCACGCTGACAGTGGACTAAGCCTCTGAAACTGTAAGCCAGCCCCAGTTACATGCTTCCTGCCACGCTGACAATGGACTAAGCTTCTGAAACTGTAAGCCAGTCCCAGTTACATGCTTCCTGCCACGCTGACAATGGACTAAGCTTCTGAAACTGTAAGCCAGTCCCAGTTAAATGCTTTCCTTTGGGGAGCTGATGTGGTCATGGTGTCTCTTCATAGCAATAGAAACCCTAACTAAGACACCCACATACACAAACACATACATAATCTACACACATTTTCATAGGATTAGAAGGCTTGCAAGGGTCAGGATATGTTGTATTTCAAAATGGCTAGAAGGACAGGTTTGGCATGTTCCCAACAAAAACAAGTAATAAATGTCTAAAGTGACAGACTTGATCATTATATATGTATATTTATATATATATGTAATATATATATGTGTGTGTGTGTGTGTGAAAATATGGCACCCTCCTCTACAGAGTGCACAAATACCTTTACTTATAAATACATAAAATTGTTACAAACACATAAAATCATTCTGTGTCAAAAAGTGATACTTTAACAAAAACCACAGCAGGGGTAGAGTAGTACAGTGCTTGCCAGTGTGTGCAAGGCCCCCGAGTTTAAGTCCTAGCATTGCCGGAGAAAAGGACATAAACAAAAACCTTCAGAGACAAATACTAACAGGAATACAGGAGGATGGGCTGAGGAGCCGGCTCAGCTGGTAAAGTGACCCCTGCAAGCTCGAGGATCTGCTTTTTTACTCCATTCCAGCGGGGGAGGGAGGGCAGCATGGTGGCATGTGCTTGCAATCCCAGTGATGTGACAGCAGGAGCAGGTGGCCCCCTGAGGCTCACTGGCCAGCCAGCCTAGCCTACTTGATGGTTTTCAGGCTAGTGAGAGACCCTGTCTCAAAAAACCAAAGTGGACAGCACCTAAAGAATGATAGCTGACGCTATCCTCAGGTCTCTACACTCACACGCACACATGTGCACACCTACCTGAACACACATACACACACACACACACACCACAAATAAAGGAATGTCTGTAGGGGTGCATTCTGAATCCATGTGGAAGCCCAGTCAGCATTAATTACTGAGTCTAGACTGTCACTGTTACAATGTTAATGTGAAGACTAGATTGTCACTGTTACAATGTTAATGTGAAGACTAGATTGTCACTGTTACAATGTTAATGTGAAGACAGCCATTGTGACACTGTTAAGAAAGAAAACATGCCTGGCCCAAGAAAAGACTAGGAAAGGGCCTGGAACCTGAAGGAAATTCGAATCCACACTGTGAAGCAGTGGGAGCAGAGACCTGTACAGTGCTTCTCGATGTAGGACACAGGATGGGGGGGGGGCGGTGTCTGGATGGAGGCAGAGGGCAGGGAAGCTGAGAGAAGAAGTGACCCATAAAATGAAAACCAACCCCAGGGGAATGGTGGATTATTACAGAACCAAGGTTGGCAAGAGGCGTTCCTTCAGATAAGCAGAGCTGGCATGGTTCACTGTCACCAGCCTTAATGTCTTTACAGTAAAACACAGCCTAGTCTACGACAGTCGCTAAGCCATGAATCCTTTCTCAAAGCAAAAGAGATTCAAAGAGAACAACAGGAACACAAAGAAGAATGAAACAGACAAAATAGCACTTTTCTTTCTGAGGTGAATTAGCCCATGAAAGTTTACTAAGAACACCCTTTAAGTCGCATTAGTTAAATGTCTTGGTGAAAGACATTTCCCTTCCCTTCTTCTTCCCAGAAGTAAGTCGTATTTTCCTTTTTGATGTGCGTTGTGTAGGTGTGTGCAATATTTGCATACATGTGCACTTAGAGGCCAGAGGAGGATGTCAGTATTCCGTTCCATCACCCCCCACCTTGTTTCTTCCAGAGGGTGGCAGCCAGGAAGCCCCAGCGATCTCCTATCTTAGCTCTGGGGTTATAGGTGAATGTGTGTGGCCACGCCCAGCTTTTATATGGATGCTGGGGATCTGAACTCAGGTCCTCATGCTTGAGCAACAAATGCTCTTAACCACTGACATCTTCCCAGGCCTAAAGCAAATGATTTTATTTATACAAGCCCACCAACAAAAATGGTCGGTAATGTCAGGAACATACCGTGGGGTAACACATGCTGTATACTACTG